TGCATGATCTTTCCCAGTGCTTTGTTTGATGTATGGTGTGACAAATATACGTATGCGTACTTTTCTGTGTATTTCTGGGTCGGTACATAATTAACATCATTACATCACCTGGCTGTTACTCATCAAGTGCAACGTACTGTGTTATCTGTGTTTAGACATCATAGTGGAGGGTGGAATAGAGTATTTGTCTCTGGCCTGTCTCCACTCAGGTGTTACTTTGGAGTGGTTTTTGGTGCTTCTTTTCAATCTGTCATCATCTGAGTTCTGAATGTTCGATAATAAACTTGGTGAACCAGGACGTGTGGTGCAGAGATTTCTTACCAGTTCCCTCTCCAGAATGCCGTCTCGGGGGGAACCCCTCCAGCACACTTTCTTCACAGCAGGTCCGGGGTCCCAGGATTGGGAATGGCCGAGCCTGGGATCTCATGCACATGCCACATCCCAGGTGACTGGTGCCAACCAGGCAGATTCCGGTGCTTCCCAGATTTGTTGCTACTGGGGATGTGCCCGCGACCAAGGTACATGCACTTGATCAAAATTGAACCTGGGACTCTAGTCCACAGGCTGACGCTCTATCCACTGAGCCAAACTGGTCAGGGCAGCACCCGTCATTTCTGCAGCACCTCCTCTGCGTCACTTGCATTTGGTCCATGCTCTCCCTTCACCCTCACCCCAGATGTGTGTGACCCTGGTACCAGCCAGACTGGTGGGTGAGGACACAATCTCCAATGCATGTGAGGCTGATTTTTCCCCTCACATGCATTTGCATTAGCATGCCAGGGCCCACGCTGTAAGGAACGGTACACGTACATACCTTCATCTTGCTGCAGTATCTTGCAGTTTTAAGTACACTTTTTTTTTTTTTTAAAGAGAACTTTGTGTTCTAGTGAGACTATAGTGCAATAAGATTTGGGGCTTCCAAAACACAACTACCTGGAATCCTTTGTCAGAAATACAGGCTTCCGCCAAAACCGGTTGGCTCAGTGGATAGAGCCTCGGCCTGTGGACTGAAAGGTCCCAGGTTCGATTCCGGTCAAGGGCATGTACATTGGTTGCAGGCACATCCCCAGTAGGGGGTGTGCAAGAAGCAGCTGATCGATAATTCTCTCTCATTGATGTTTCTAACTCTCTATCCCTCTCTCTTCCTCTCTAAAAAAAAAAAAATCAATAAAATATATTTTTAAAAAAAAAGAAATACAGGCTTCCATTCAATGTTGAAGGAAGAGAAACAAGTCCTGGAACAACTAAAACGTATAAGCAATTGATGTACGCTACAGACCACAGTGTGGGCCTGTGCGGATGCCCGTCGCCTGTGCTCGATCAGTACCTGCTGTTCCAGAGCCTGTGCCTGGCACCATCACATGCAGCTCCTCATTTCCTCTCCACACAAACCCCTGAGGGAGGTCATTATCTCCACAGTACATGGCAGGAGAGAGTCTCAGAGAAATGAGGCAATTTGCCTCTGGTAGAATTCAAAACCAGGTTGTCCAAGAGGTGGAATTCTCACACTGACGGCCGGTAATACGTAAATATTAGTTCACTTCTCGGTGCCAAAAATTGTTGCTGACCCTATTCCTCTTGCCTTGGGGAGGGGAAAATGTTTCTGATGATCTGCTTACGGCCTCCTTTTTCTCTATGTCCTTTCCCTGGGAGATTGTCTCCAGCTCAGTGACTTCAGTGTTATGTTCTGGGTGGTGACTCACCCAATCAGACAGAACTGCTCCCTGGGTTCCATACCTGAGTATCTCTGAGTCGATGGCAAAACACTTACCCTCTCGGAGATTGTGTCCCCACCCACCAGTGTGGCAGTTACCAGCGTCACACACATCTGGAGTGAGGGTGGAGGGAGAGCATGACCAAATGCATGCGACGCAGAGGAGGCACTGCAGAGATGACCGGTGCTTCTTAGCTCTCCAACCTCCAGTTTTCTCCAAACTACACCAAATTAGCTCCAACTTCATGTTGAAATTTAATTTTATAAAATCTCTCCCTGCCTACGTAGCAACTCTTTTTAGTTCTCAAATTTCAATTAAATCCTCTCAATGACACAAGTTGAAAATCCACTCATTTTGTTCATTTCCCCCTTGCTCATCACATCCAATTAGTTCCTGAGGTCTAAAGAGTCTAGCATTTCAAGGTCACCCTTCTGTTGCTGCATTCTTGGCTCCCCCGTAGTTTACCTCATTATTACCAGTATTCCCAGTTTTCCACTGATTTTTAGAGAGTGGAAGGGAGGGTGGGAGGGAAAGAGAGAGAAACATCAATGTGAGAAAGACACATCCCACATATGTCTGACCCTGGCCAAGGGAATGAACTTGGCAACCTAGGTAGGTGTCCTTAACCAGGAATCGAACCCGCAACCCTTCAGTGCGTGGGCCAGCACTGTAACCACTAAACAACACCAGCCAGGCCAAAGAGATCTGCTTTTTACTGGGTAAGGATTCTTCCTCTTCTCCTTCCCGTGTGGATTAAGGAGGGAGCATTGTCTAAGGACTCTCGGTATTGTGACTTGGCTATAATCTCATCAATAACTTAATACTTCAATATTATTAGTTGTTTTAACTTCAGAGCCCAGGAGTTTTCAGGACAGATGATATGAGATTCCAGGATATTCATTTACTCACCACCTTTTCTTCTCATTTTCTAATTTTTATTGAAGAAATCTTACTCACTTATATGCCAATAGCTCCCATATTGACATTTCCTTCCCAGACCTCCCCTCTGTCTCCAACTGTGTGTCTCCATGGCCACGTGGCTCCTCAAATACAGCACGTGGGTCCCGAGGGAGCTCATGACCTTCACCCCTCCGGGCCGCGTTTGCTGTCTCAGTGCGTGGTGCTGAGTTCACTGATCCTGAGACCTGCAGATGGCTTCGAAACGCTTCCTCCGAGTTCTGCCTCCTCTGGTGCCCAGTACATTAGCAAACCCGTCTTCTATCTCTTCGGTCCACCCACGTCTCTGCATCCGGGCTGCCCTCCCCGTCCAGTTTATCACCTCTTCCTGCCTGGACCCCCGCCTTCCTCTCCTCGGCCTCGTCTCTCTCCCGCTGCAACCACAATGACCTGTGGAAAAGGCAAGTCTCATCAAGCCGCTTGGATGCTGAAAACCTTTCCACGACCGACCGCTGGCTGCAGCAGAAAACCCATACTCTGCCCGCCTCTTAGCCCCAGCTTGACCCGGGCCTCACCTGGCGCCCTCTGCTCCCCGCTTCCTCACTCACTGGGAACACAACCCACCCTTTTGGTGAGGACACTCCAACCTATGGGCCACCTGGCCAGGGCCACACTTCCGTTCAGCTGCTTTCCCGAGCCATGTCCTTTTGGGGTTTAGCTCAGCCGTTCACCTTGTGTGATGCTCTCCTCCCTCTGGCTGTCCTCGGTTGCCTAGGTAACCAACGCGTGCTGTCAGATCTCAGGTCACTTCACTGCGGCCTTCCCTGACCGTTGAGACTGAACCAGATCTCCCTGTTCTACCCTCACTCAGCTCCTACTTTCTCCTCCTAGAAACCATCGCCATTGGTATTTTGTTAAAGAGTGATTTGATTCACGTCTGTCTCGCCCACTAACATGCTAGAGTCACGAGGGCAGCACCTGTGTTTATTATTCTTATCGTTTTACCCTCAGAGCCTTGGGCGGTGCGATAAAAACTTGTTGAACGAAAAAATAACCAAGTGAAGGTCATAGAGACTTGCCCAAGGTCAAGATGAGACATAGCCAGGAGCTCTGGTTTTCAGCTCAGATCACCAGCCTCTTCAGCAAAGAGCTTGTCCAGGCTGCCCTGCCTCATCATGTCCAATTTCTCAGCCCTCGCCTTTTCCATGATGACATTTATTCAGCAAGACAGCGCTGTAAGTACAGTAATTTTTTTCTTTTCCCCATGCAACACATGCTATTGTGTAGTCTATTTGGAGGAGGGTATTATGAGAAACGAGACCACCGTGTAAAACTTGTAAAGATTCCTGAGATTCTCAGAAGAAATATGAGGTGTAGTCCATAAAGAGCAAAAAATGCTTTTATGTTTAAAGAGAAAAATGCTCTCCATTTCAAAAGCTGGCATCTGCCAAAGAGCATCCTATTAGGTGGGCTAGTCATCATCATCTCCCCAGCTGCTGTGCACAATCCACCTTCTCTCCAAGGTATGAAAAGGCAGAAGCCACTCGGCTGTTGGGAAGTGCCTTGTGTTATAACATCCACGCAAAGTGGTCCGTGGTGGTTCTATTTATAAGACAAGTTGTTTACCCCCAGAGAAGTTGGAAGATGGCTTCTCGAGGGTGTTTGTGCTGCGGATGGAAATGGAATCATTGTGTCTGAATGCCCCTTGCTCACGTCAGTGACCCCCACCTGCAGCCAGCCCGGGTTATAAGTAGCCACGCATCCCCTGTGGGCTGCAGGCGGTGCAAGCAACCAGGGCCAGCGAGCCAGGCTCCCGGTAAGCTTTCTCAGCCCTTTCTCTGGGCTTCCTTCCCACAGCCCACCTCGGGGTGGGAGACCAGCTGTACGGACCTGGCGTGGGGTGAGCCCGCCTCAGCCGTGTATGTCAAGTGCTTGGCTCAGTTTCGGGTTTAAAAGATGGGTTTGGGGTGCTTGTTTGTGGTTTAAGAAATTCACTTTTTTCTTTTTTTGAGATAACAATGCTTTTATTTATTTTATTTATTTATTTATTTATTTTTTTAAAGATAAAATGCTCTGCTCAGACTGGGGAGGTGGTGTTCATCGTCACTTTGCTTATCATTGTGTAAGGTTCTAGCTTTTGTGGCCCCCTTCAGCTAATCAACTGGATTTGGAATTCTTGTTTGCAAATGAATCTGGAGAAAAGGGGGCTTTACCATTCAGGTGGACCAGGATGCCATTTCTTCCTCCTTGTCTCCCTTTAAAAATGGCTCTGTTTTTATTCTACATTTGTTCTCTCTCCCTTCTTTCTTCCCTCTCTGCCTGCCTCGCTCCCTCCATCAGGTGTGACCATTGCATTTCCCTCATCCTTCCAATCTCTCTCAGTCCGCCATGCCCAGAGTGCTCCTGCTGCTGTCTGCTGCCCTGGTGCTCCTCGGGCCTGTGCATGGAGCCACCCTGAGGAGCAAGGAGACATGGAAGCCGCTTAGCAACCCCCAGAACCGGGACCTGGTAAGCACGCTCCGGGCCTGCTGGGCTGGGTGCGATCGCTGTGTCCCAGGATCGGTGTGCTCAGAAAGCAGCCCAAGCCCAGGCCAGAGCTCAGTGGGCCTGGCAGCTGGCCTCCTGCTGCTCCTCTCGCCCATCTACACCTGCTCCTGGGGGTACCCAGGGTGCATTCCTGTGTAAGTGGTCTGTGCACACAGAGGGGAAACACACCACTCTGGGATTACAGCCATCACATGGCACCTGGCACAGCTTCTCTATATTTACCCATTTCCTAGAGAGCCATATTCGGCTCTTTGGCCCCTTGAGTGTGGCTCTTCCACAAAAATGCCTAGGCAAGTCTATGTTGAAGAAGTGGCGTTAGAAGTTTAAGTTTAAAAAATGTGGCTCTCAAAAGAAATTCCAATCGTTGTCCTGTTGATATTTGGCTCTGTTGACTAATGAGTTTGCCGACCACTGGCCTGGAGGAAAGCCCAAAGTCCGCGTCTGAACAAAAATGATTTCAGAAGACAGTGACCAGGGTCTTGTTTTCAGTCAGAGAGGCGGCACCAAGCTCTGGTCACTGTGGAGTTAAATATCACCTCTGACCTTGGTACTCAAAGATGGTTACAAGGCCCCTCTGGCAGGTGCTGTTAAGGAATTGCTATTCCTGGCGGGATTTCCACCAAGAATGGCGAGTGAGCTTGTTTGGGGTGAAATGTCAGAGAGGAGGCACGGTAGGGAATGGGGTGGGGAAAGGAGCGGGGGAGGGAAGAAGTGGCCAAAGTTTGTGCTTCTACCTCTCAGTTTCCACCTCCCACCTCCTAGGTAAGCTCCCCAATCAATTCAGGGGGAAATACTCACCGTTGAGTATTTTGGGTGTTTAATTTATAACTGGCAACGGACCTTTCCTTTCTCTGTGCAGTTTTTCAGAACCCTTCAGGCGTATTTTAAGGGAAGAGGTCTTGACCTTGAAAAGTTTCCAAATACTTTCTCCACGAACGAGAACCCCAGACCCCTCTCTGTGCAGTCGGAGCTCATGGCCTCTGCCTTCGCCAAGTACAAAGAGCAGAGAGACTCCCTTCCCGGCAACCTCAAAAGCTGATGGCTTTTCCTGAAAACAGGTGAGAGGCCCCTTTCCTCTCAGACAGACCACTGGCTCATACAGAGGCTTGAGAAGTCATTATTGGAAAAGTGATTTTATTTCCCCACAGAAATAAGTGCTACATTTAGAAGCTACTTATCACTGGTAATATTTGGATTTGGATCAGACATTTCATGCCTGTTTTAAGGAGGAATGACAGTTAGGACATTTTAAGCATAGGTTTATGGAAAGAGATATAGAGAAATGATAGGATTATCACACTCTGCCTATATCCTTTTTTTTTTTCCCCAGACCAGGTCAGATAAAGAAATATGTGAAATTGTGCAGTTGGGTGAAATAGAAAGTAAAGTTTAGAAATAGTTCTTCTTAGAAGAAAGTAATAAGCATATGTTTGATTTGAACATCCTCACCTAGAGAAAATAAAGTAAAATGTTAAAGATGATTTTTTTTCATAAGAAAAAGGTTTTAAATATGTTTAATATTTGAATTTTATTATTCTGTATTATTACTGTAGCATCCTACCAAATGAGCACCTATCATTTAAAAAAAAAAAAATAGGTGTGGTACATTCCAGGAAGCTACAGTATGATTCTAGCCTATCAGCTTGCTGTTCAGCTGAGTAATTACGATTCGGTTTCCTCTAATAAAGGGAACTAAGTCGTAATTAACATCTCCTTCTCTCCTTCCACCATGCTTCCAACAGTGAGGAAGCATGCCACTGTTGCATTTTATTGTGCATGTGAAAGGGTTTTGATTATCGGTTCTTGTAAATGTGATGATTTTAAAAAATAATGATGTAATTAAAAAAAAAGATTTATGCACTCCCACCTGAGAAAGTAAAATGGAATAAATAGAAAGATGGTAAGGAAGCATCCTCTTAGCTGCTTCTCATACGTGGGCCCGAGGCCAGTGGTTGATAACCCGTGCTCCGAGGACCGCTGATGGTCCATGAGGCCCCGAAGGTTGGCGACCGTTGGTTTAAGGAAGTAGTCGGCCAACTCATTAGTCAACAGAGCCAAATATCAACAGTACAACGATTGGCATTTCTTTTGAGAGCCAAATATTTTAAACTTAAACTTCTTCTAACGCCACTTCTTCAAAATAGACTCACCCAGGCCGTAGTATTTTTTGGAAGAGCCACACTCAAGGGGCCAAAGAGCCGAATGTGACTCGTGAGCCACAGTTTGCAGACCATGGGTTTAAGGAAACCTCGGAAGCTGAAACAGGACAGTTACTAATATGCAGCGCCTCCTTTAGGAGAAGGCAGTACTGCATGCAGTTTGCTTTAAGTCTTACAAGTCTCCACCTATAAATTGCAGGTGCTAACCTCTAACGCACAGAACGTGTCAAAGAAAATATCAAATACATCCTTTCTTTCCTGTGAGCGTGGCGTGGCGTACTGTTTGGGGGCGGGGCCCGGAGAAAGCACCTATTGGGTGCTATGGTAACAGAATGGGACTCTTAGGGGGAAGAGGCCAAGCGTCAGGTTCAGAGAAGACTTCATCATAAGCCCGCCTTTCCTGGCAGCTGATTAGAAAGTGAGGACGAAGAGTTTTTGCTGAAAGATGTTGATCTTTGAGTCTTTGTGCTAATGGCACCGACTGCATTTTCTGTCTCATTAGAGCATTTTCTTGTTCTTGCAGGTACCTGGCTATTTTTAAACTACAGATGAAGCGCTCATCAGAAAAAGTCAATCGTGGTCATTGTTACCCCCCCTCCCACTTTTGTCAATTTTAATGGTTTTAGTCTATATTTCCAGATGTACATATAAGCAGCTTGACCTTTGGCACCTGTATGCATACTTTTTGCTGTTTTTCCCACTTTATCACCATAAATGTCAATGTAGAGCACTGTGTATAATGGCAAGTTACCAAGACTCCACAGAGTTGAAAGAAATGACTAAATGAAGTTTCCTTTCAGCTTGTCTGATATGTGTCTATTGGTTTTAACAATCAGGACTTTCATTTGAAAGGGATGTTGCTCATTTTACTGGAGTTCATTCTGTGTCCTAGGGGTTTGGGTTTAAAGTTGGGCTTTTTCTGGGAGGAGGACACACACGCACGCTCAGCACATGCTGTTGAAAGAACCCCCAGTCTCGTTTCATACCAGGGAAGATCAGTGATGAATATCCACAATTAAGTGGAAATAGAAAGCAAAGGATCATGGGATCCTAGAATCGCCGGGGCCCCTGGGAGAGGCTCTCTGCCACTGTGCTCAGCGGTGGACGTTGTTCTACACCAAGTATCCTAGCCTCCTCTGCCTCTCCCACACATACCCTACCCCCCCCCCCTCAAGAAAGGAGGGCAGAAGGCCGGAGAGACAGGGAGTGGGGTAGGTGGACGTGGGCAAATTGGGGTGGGGTAGAGAGAGAGAGAGAGACTGCTTGGAGTGACAGGCACACCATGCCCTGTGCAGATGATGTTTTATTGAGTTGCACATTTGAAACCTGTTCTGTGAACCAATTAAAAAAAGGAGGGGGAGAGAGTGTAGAAACTGGTGTGGGTGACGAGCAAACTTCTCTTCCCCTCCCACTGGGCAGACTAACTCTGACTCTCAGATCCTCATGTGGAGCCACTCCTCCTTCTGCATCTCATTTTCTCTGTGATTCCTGTGAGAGGGACATGGTACTCACAGCAAACATCAGGGTCCTACTGACGTGAGCCTGTACATCCCAAGGTCGCCTTCGGTGGCTTCTCTGTGGATGATTGATACTGAATTCCCCCAGTAGCATTTATGTGAGAGCAGATCCTGTGTCTGGGTTAACATGCTCTGTTGTAATGAGCTGTGTGTTGTGTGTGTACGTGTGTGTGTGTGTGTGTTTCCCCCCATGGTATTTCTCCAGTATCTAGCACAGGGCCAAGCATGTAACCAGTGTTCAAGAAACACTTGTTGAATTCAAATAAATATGTGCTCTTCTGCTACTGCCCACACAGTCATGGAAGCTGATTCTAATCCACGTCGAGAACATTTTTCCCACTTAGAGTATATACGGAATAATGGATGAGCATAACATGTTAGCCGGTTCAGATCCAGGGTGGAGAGGGAGGGAGCGTCCCACCCCATCCGGCTCCCCCCGAGTACGAGTGGCTGGCTTTCCCTCTCCCCTCGCCACCTGTTTGGGGTGTCATAGCCTCCACACAGGGAATGCGCCTCAGTGTCAGGCCTTTGGAAGGGAAGAGCACCCGCACGGGCCTTTTCACTGGGAGCTTACTAAGTCTCAGCGTCGGGACAGCTCCGTTGGGAGGTCCCTCGCATTGGCGGGCGGCTGTTGGTGAAAGGCCTGCTCTCCACATGGACTGGCCCAGCGGTTGGCAAACTCATTAGTCAGCCGAGCCAAATATCCACAGTACATGATTTAAATTTCTTTTGAGAGCCAACTTTTTAAAACAACTTCTAATGCCACTTCTTCAAAATAGACTCGGCCAGGCTGTGGTACTTTGTGGAAGAGCCACACTCAAGGGGCCAAAGGGCCGCAGGTGGCTCGCGAGCCGCGGTTTGCTGACCACAGGGACTAGGGCGTCTTGCTGGTGATGCTGATGGTGGGGGAAGGTCGGGTCTTCACCACTTAGCACACCTGGCCCCAGACACTAGGTTAGGCGTCTCCCCACGGCTGCCCTGTGATGTGGACAAGCAACACCTCCCTACACATTTCTTAACGCCCACTGGGGGCCCGGCTGGCATGGCTCAATGGTTGAGCTTGGTTATGACCTGGGACATGGGGATGATGTGTGGGACTGGCTCCCAGTGGGCAGGGGCTGGGTGGCAGGGTGCCTCCTACTCTCTGCAGTAACAGGACCTGGCCAGCAGAGGGCGATAGCCTGCCTCCTCCCAAGGCAGGCAGCTAGGCTGGGCTGGGCTGGGCTGGCTGGGCGGAAAGCACAGCTGCTTCCCCTTGAGAAGGGCAAAGGGGGAGGCTGTAGGGTGGCTCTGGAGCCAGCTGGGTTGCCCTGGGAGGCCGGTTCTGCCTAACCACCTGCAGACCGGTCTCCTCCGGTGGCCGCAGAGGTCTCAGGCTGAGAGTCCTCCAGGAGCTGGGAACTACCCCCCCCCTCCCCCGCTTTCCGCTATCCCACCCGCACTGCCAGCCCCACCTTCAGACCCAGTCTGAGGACCCTGGGGCTGAAGGCAGGACCTGGAGAGCAGGTGATGGGCTGGGGCCTGAGCCCAGCAAGTCTCTGGAACTACAGGGTAGCGCTGAGGATGCCGTGTGCTGACTGGGGGCCCAGAGGACGCGAGATGCTGCCACAGGGGCGGGTAGCAAAGGTCACAGGTCAAGGGGACAGAGGCTCTGGGCAGCCCAGGCTTCCATTTTGCTCTCTGTCCTTTTCCTGCTGTGTACCCTCAGAGGAAGAAGCCCCTCGCCCTCTCTGTGCTGCCCTTAGCTTCCCCCATGGGCAGGTGCATAGAGGGGATGGGGCCACCCAGAGAGCTGAGGTGTGCACTTGATGGGGTCGGGGCCATGGGATTGACAGGAGGTGCCCGCGTCATCAGGGGTAGGGTCACGTGATTGGTCAGAGGTGTGCAAGTCATCATGGGGTGGGGCCCCTGATTGGCTGGAGGCGCACACACGTGAACACCGTGTGGGCTCTTGTGAGGATGGAGGTGGAGTAAGGTGAGGTTGCAGAGAGGCCAGGCCAAGAGGAGGGGACCATGGAGAGATGGGGCCAGGAGCAAAGGAGCCCAAGGACCCTAGAGCAAGGTGACCAGACATGCTTTTTGTGGGACAGTCCCGATTTTTAACAATTTGTCCCGTGTCCAGTGGCGTTTTTAAAAAGTCCCGATTTTTGGAAAGAATGCACCGGAACGGTTGGAGAACAGAAAGGGAATATACGGTTTTCGGCGCTATGTGGCTATTTAGCCAGGATAGGAGTTTTATATTATTTTTGGTTTTTTTGTTGTTGTTTTTAGATTCATCAAGCTGGGCGCTAGGTAGGCGCCACCTCTCTGATGGAGAGGCAGCAAAAGCGGCCCCCACAAGCCACGCAGGTTTATTTATAGGTCAAGGGAGCTTATTTGCATACTTAACTATCCACTAGCATTACTGGATTTATATATCTAGACCCGCCTCTGCTGACACCTGGACAAAGGTACTCTACCAGTGCCTCAGGCTCAGCTAACAATTTAAAGAATGTCCATGTGCCTTCTCAGGTGACCCTCTACATCCCACCCTTTTTTACTAATTAAAATAAAATTTATTAAAAAAATAAAATAAAATAAAATTTAAACATTAATAATAGGGCTCTAAAGTTAAAATAATTGCAAACAATGCCAATGCAAAAACTAAATTACATACATGTTATCATTTTTAAAACTTGAATGTCAAGAGCAAAACTCTGGCTATTAAAAATAAACAACAATGCCAATGCAAAACAACAATATGAGAAATCAGAACTATGGAAATGTTAACATTTTTAGCTATTAAATGAGAGACTCTTGTTGCTGGTGTAGATTTACTCAGAGTCCTTGGACTTGCTGTGCAAGACTTTGCAGAAGACTGGAAGCTAACAGATGCTAGCATGAGCAGGAACATGGTTGAAGAAGTAGCTTCTACTTCAGTCTTTTAAAAAAATATATATTTTATTGATTTTTTTTTTTTTTTTTTACAGAGAGGAAGGGAGAGATATAGAGAGCTAGAAACATTGATGAGAGAGAAACATCAACCATCTGCCTCTTGCACACCCCCTACGGGGGATGTGCCCGCAACCAAGGTACATACCTTTGACTGGAATTGAACCCAGGACCCTTCAGTCTGCAGACCGATGCTCTACCACTGAGCCAAACTGGTTTCGGCCACTTTAGTCTTTAACTTCTTCAGATGACTCTATATTGGCACCACCACAGTCCCTTGCATAGCTTTCAGTTTTCTTCCCCTACTTTGCTGTCATCAGGGCAGTACTTAAATCTTTTTGAGTGAAGGGACACAGGAGCTTCTGAGTCCATTGTGGTGACGAACATACACTCTGGCACCCGAGTTGGCTGCATTGCTTCTTCTGGAAAGATATAAAATACAACCTCTTCCCCACATTATTACCGAATTTGATAAAACTTTTGTCTGGTTTATGCTTTTTGTTAATTTTATAATGTTACACTTTAATAATAACAAACAATTGTTGAGAACTGATTATAGAGAACTGCTTATCAAAGTTCGCATTGTTGATCAGTTGTTAGAATTCACTCAAATGAGAAATATGCCAAAGTATAATACTATACATAATTTTTTAATTTATTATATTTGTAAATTGTACTTATGTTTAAATTTTAAAATATATTACAATACTATTTTTGCGTTCTATGAAAATTTTTGTTGCTCCTTATAGACCAAATTTTTTAAAATATATTTTTTTATATAGACCAAATTTTAAATCAAGAACACCCCCCTCCCCCACTTCCCTGGTCAATGGTGTCCCACTTTACCAATGTCAAAATCTGGTCACCTTACCCTACTGGGGTAGGTTTCCTTGACCGGAATCGAACCTGGGACCCTTCAGAACACAGGCAGACCCTCTATCCACTGAGCCAAACCGGCCCGGGAGACTGGGAGCATCTTCATGCAGAATTGGGGGAAATGATCTAGATGAGAGAAAATCTCTTTAAGGCACTGTTGTTTTTTCCCCTAACCCCTTACAATAAGTGGGAGACTTGAACCCGGCCGCAGGCGAGGGCGGGGAGCAGGAGCCTGAAGGAAAGGCCCGCCAGCGCTAACTGGAAGGAGGTGGGGCCAAGCGCTCGCGCGGAACCCGAACTAGGCAGCTGCGGCGCCGGCCGGGCTCATTTCCGGGCGGACGCTGGCCGGGCTCATTTCCGGGCGGACGCCGGTCCGGTCTCTCGGCTTCCGGCGCGCGTTGGAGGCTGGCTGGGAGGCGTTGCCCTGTCTGTTCTCTCTCCCGGTGCCTGGGGTTGCCCATCGGGGCCTTGCAGACATGTCGGGCTTCAGCCCAGAGCTCATCGACTACCTGGAAGGGAAGATCTCCTTTGAGGAGTTCGAAAGGCGGAGGGAGGAGAGGAAGGCCCGCGAGAAGAAAGTGAGGAGGCCTCTCCCGTCCTGTGGCTCCGATGGGCTTGGAGAGATGTGGGGGGCCCGGAGGACCCCCTTCGCTGTGGGGGGCGGACCGGAACCGGGCCCCACCTCTCCTCCCTGGGCCCAGCTCCTCTTAAAAACACCCTCCCCACCCCAAACCCCCAAGCTTTTCTTCCGCGCCCCGCTTGCCGGACCTTCTCCTCGTTCCCTGGGGCCGTGGGCGGCCGTGCGGGGTCAGCGGGGCTGGTTCTGGCCTCGCTTTGCCCCTGAGTGTTTGTGTGATTTTAGGGTCGGCAGCTCACCTCGCTTCTTTAGGTCTGTTTCTCTTTTTATTTTATTATTTTTTTAAAAAAAAATGGCACAAACTGGCCTGTTTTTAAATATATATATTTTTATTTCAGAGACGGGGAGAGGGAAACATCAATGATAGAGTCACTGCTAGGCTGCCTCCTGTGCGCCCCCCACTGGGAATGGAGCCCGCAAGCCCGGCCTGTGTCCCACGGTGACTTTCTGGTTCACAGGTCAGCGCTCAGCCACTGCGCATGCCCCTCGGGCAGTTTCTCTGTTTTTGAACAGGGATTTGAGGTCCCATTTCTCAGGAGTCTCCCAATGGTGTGATGTAATCATCCACACACACACACAGAACAACACCACAACGTGAATTTTCTTGTCTAACAAAATCTTCACTCACACATAGTTTCCATACTTAGGAAGAAATATCTGGGTTTTCCGTATATCCTCATTTACTTGAAGTCCGAGGGAAAATGAAATTGCACCTTTTGAAATTGGTCGATTCTTTCCTAACTCATGCAAGGAGTAGTGCCCTGTCCTCATTTCAAAAGCTAGGACACCACGTGCAGATTAACAGGAAGTCTTGTGTTTTATTGTTTTTTTACAAAAAGACTGATTCAGACTGAGACAGAAGCAGTCCGTAATGCTTTGACGGCATTGAGGTTTAGTTTGCACATACTGCCCGTGTGTCCAGCTCAAGGTTTATGTGAACAGAGCGTGAGGCTGATGCCCTGTTTCAGCTGGAGAGAGCGCAGTCTGCATGAGTGTTGGGAATCTAATTTGTTTTCAATCACAGCATCTTCAGGGGAAAGGAAAGCCATCGGCTGAAGAAAACCCAAATGACTCTGAAGTCCCATCGTCATCGGGAATCACCTCTGCCAAAGCCCAGGACAACGATGCCAATGAAGGTGTGTCCCGATAGCTGGCTCCCTGATTAAAGGTTAAGGGCACCCAATAGCCCTCACTGGTCTGCCCAGTGGACAGAGTGTGGGCCTGGGAAGAGGTTCTGGTCAAGGGCATGTACCTGAGTTTCCAACCTCAATCTCTAGTGAGGGCCTGTAGCAGGCAGCCAAATAATGATTCTCATCATTGATGTTGTTCTCTTTCTCCCTCTCCTTCCTCTCTGAAATCAATTTAAAAATGTGTGTGTGTGTTTGTGTGTATATATATATGTGTGTGTATATATATGTGTGTGTGTGTATGTGTGTATGTATATGTATATATGTATGTATGTATGTGTATGTATGTATATATATATATATATTTTTTTTTTTTAAGAGTACCTAATTTAGCAAAAACATTTTTCATTGCAGTGGCATTCTGTTGTTGATTTCCTGGCTTATTAGGAGCATAGTGCATATAATAGATGCTCAATAAATATTGAGTTACTGAATATGGGTTATTTTTGTGGGAAAACGTTTCAAATTGATGTCAGTATTTGGGAGCCTTTTAAATTTATTTTTTTCTCATATAAAAGAAGTATGTCATGTTATTTTTCATTTCTGAAGTAATAATACTATTTTTAATATTATTTAGTATTTTGCTCCTGTTGGGGTCAGATAGTTATTCTAAATGCATGTAAGTCACAATGTATTTCACCTTCAGAGTAGTACTATAAGGCAAGCATTATTAAACCCTTTTTACAGTGAGGGAATTGAAGTCCATAGGACTTCCGGGACCAGGGTTACACATCCAGTGAGAGATGGAGAGGAAGTTTGACGCCAGACAGCTTGGCTCTAGAAGCTCATCCAGAGCCACTCTGCTAGCCCACCTGGTCTCTACCACCTGCTTCAATCCACTTGGTTCTCTCCTATCCCACCTTCTTCTATCCCATCTCCTATCACCTGCTTTTCACCCACCTAGTCCTATACCACCAGGCTTATTCAGTTCTTAGGTCTGTGTCTTAAAATTCTTTTTTCCCCTCTCTGCTTTCAATTGTTACTGTGTACACTTCTGATTTCCCATTTAATTTTCTTTTTTTAAAAAAAATATATTTTATTGATTTTTCACAGAGAGGAAGAGAGAGGGATAGAGAGCTAGAAACATCGATGAGAGAGAATGAGAGAGAATCATCGATCAGCTGCCTCCTGCACACCCCCTACTGGGGATGTGCCCGCAACCATGGTACATGCCCTTGACCAGAATCGAACCCGGGACTCTTCAGTCTGCAGTCCGACGCTCTATCCACTGAGCCAAACCGGTCCTGGCTGATTTCCTATTTAATTTTCCTTAGGTGAGGCCCAAAGATGAATAGGCAATTCCTACAGAGTAAAACACATGCTTTATGACAGCTTTCTTTCTTGGGTTGTTTTTGGGGAGTGCTCATTTGTCTCTGTGTTTTTTTGTTTGTTTTGTTTTGTGTTTTTTTTTTTTTTGTTTTTTTTTTTGCTTTCAAGTTTACTGAATGTTCTAAAGCTTCTCCAACCCTTTTCCTCCCAATCTCAATGTGTCTTTCTTCAGGAGAAACATCAGATGGAGTTAGTAAGTCAGTTCACAAGGTCTTTGCTTTCATGCTTGGAGAGAATGAAGATGAGGAGGAAGAAGAAGAAGAAGAGGAGGAGGAGGAGGAGGAAGAAGCACCTGAGCAACCCACCGCTGGCGATGTCTTTGTGTTGGAGATGGTGCTCAATCGTGAAACCAAGAAAATGATGAAAGTAAATTCTTACTTAATTTGGTAACAGAAACAGAATGTAAAAATGTGACATTGAAAAAGAATTCAAACTGTAAGAAAGGAAAATCTATGAGACAACTACTGTTACTGGTTTCTTGTGTTTCATTAGAGATTTTTAAAATGTAAAGCCTTAATTACTTCATGTGTCAAAGTGTACCATAAGACCTTTGCTGTTAAAAGGTCTGTATTGATATTTTTTACAACTTCAATCTGAGTAGATAGGTTTGAAAGGAGGATCTTTAGAATTGCATCATATAAGGTCTCTGGCATATACATTTATTTTGCAGTTTTCCATTTGTTATTTATTCTAATTAGTAATATAAGTAATTCCTGATCACTTTGGTTTTGCTTTCTTTAAATATTTAACTGTGTTTTGAACTTTCTACTGTGGGAAATTCTGTTTTTTTTGTTTTGTTTTAATTATCTGAGGTGCTTATTTTGAGAGAATATCGTAGAATATTAATAATTTCTTCTTTTCTGTGATTGAATTTAGCCATTTGGTCCTTAGGTCTGAGTGTAAATTGAAACGTTTTAAAGAAGAATTTCGTTTTTGTGATGGTCTGTACTTATCAATGTGCTTGGAATGGAAACCTGAGACATTACTGTATTTTAATCAGCGTCCCTTTCTGTGCAGGAGAAGAGGCCTCGTAGCAAACTTCCCAGAGCTCTGAGAGGGCTCATGGGCGAAGCCAACATTCGCTTCGCTCGGGGAGAACATGAAGAGGCGATTTTGATGTGCATGGAAATCATCAGACAAGGTGCTGCCTTGGGGATTGTTGGCAGTGCAGTTTTCCTTAGCAAAGGGGGTTTTCACGAGGGGAGCATGGTGAGAGTAGGGGTTTTCATGAAACTATACTTTGCTTAGAGAAGAGAATGCTTGAAAAATGCCAAAGTGTGAAAATTTAATAAAGCAGATATAATCTAGTGTTTTTCTTTTATAAATTCCATTAAGTAGTTTCTATAATTCTAAGAGTTATTTCAATAGTTTATATATTAGAAGAAGGATCCATACATAATTTGATGTTAGCTCAAGCCTCTTCCCTCAGCCAATGGAATTATTTCTTTTTAAATCATTATAGCTCCCCTGGCTTATGAGCCATTCTCTACTCTTGCCATGATATATGAGGACCAAGGCGACATGGAGAAATCACTGCAATTTGAGTTGATTGCTGCACATTTAAATCCCAGTGACACTGAAGAATGGGTTAGATTGGCAGAAATGTCTCTGGAACAAGACAATATTAAGCAGGCAATTTTTTGCTACACAAAAGGTAATTAAAATGTTTTTCTCATTTTTTATAAAATGTTACATAATCAATTTCTTGATAATTGTGCTTGCTATTTTGGGGTGATGTTAGTTGAAATGTATTTATTCCTTGTATTCTGTTATATCAGAGGTATTTGGGGTTTATCTGTTTTCATGTTTATCAGCAACTTTATATTATGAGCTAATACTGCACAAGTTAGTACAAGAACAGAATGTTTATTTTCCCACCAAGATCTAGATTGGTTCTATGCTGTTCCTTAAGGGCTCCTGTCAGACTGGAGTGACCAAATGAAAGTTAATACGATTAAAGTGCTGTCTGGTCTTAGGTCAGACCTCGGTGAGAGTGCATGGAAAGGTAGATGTCTTCCCACATAACCAGCTCAGTTGCAGAGGCGAATAAGTGTTTAGAGTGTTTACTAAATTTCCCAAAGAGAAGATGGGTCACACGCAGGTACCGTACTTCACTCTAAGATTACTCTATCTTTTTTCTCTTTAGCTCTTAAATATGAACCTACTAATGTCCGTTATTTGTGGGAGCGATCAAGCCTGTATGAGCAGATGGGAGATCATAAAATGGCGATGGATGGCTATCGGCGCATCTTAAACCTTTTGTCTCCGTCTGACGGAGACCGGTTTATGCAGTTGGCTAGAGATATGGCAAAGTAAGTTTGGACTGAATGTTACAAATTTTATTAATCATCATAGTTTAGAAACCACAGCATATACATGAAGAATAATTTACTTTTTATTGAGGTTTTACTTCTTGTATTTCATAATCTGCTTACATGGAGAGGTGGGATGGGGTTTTTGGTGTTTTGTTTTTTTTTTCCAACCCAACTGTGTTTGCTTAGAAAAATGCGTATGTACAGTTACCTTTCAAGTGCTCAGAAGCTTAAAAAGGAGCATGTTTTGAAAGGATGACTAGGCTCCCAGTGTTCCATAACTTATTTGAAGTTACATACATTGGCAGTAATGTTCTTTTAAACTATTGCAGGCGTGTTAATGAAATGTTGGTGAGCTGGCATCTCCTGAATTGTTTTATCTTGAGCTAAGAATAGAGTAACATTTTAAGATGCAAAATTTTCTTTGCAGTTAGCATCTACTCCTAACTTGGCATATATTTTATTCTAAAATATTATATCCAACTGCATTTACTTCTCTGACATGCTGTACAGCAAAACAAAGCAGGACACATTTTGGCTAAGTGATGCCTTGTGGTATGCTTTCTATTCCAGAGGATACCTATTATAGTTCAGTCTGGCGTTAACCGTCTTCATATGGGTATCTTAGGGTTTGCCCTGTTAATTCCAGGGCTGTTGTCATGCCGATGCTTAACTCATCCCCCGAGCTCCCAAGGGTGGATAATGTAGGCATACTGGAAGCATTTTAGGAAATTGGTTAAGGCAAGGGATAACCTTAGATTGATCCTTGATGTATATGATGAGCATTGAGGATCTTCCTAGGCTATTAGTTATTTATTAGATACCTAGCTGTCACAAGTGCTAGTCCAGTAAGCTCCTACTTTATGAATTATTAGTACATTTGTTTTCCTCTGGATACTTTTAAAAAATATATATATATATATTTTAATTGACTTTTTACAGAGAGGAAGGGAGAGAGATAGAGTCAGAAACATCAAAGAGAGAGAAACATTGATCAGCTGCCTTTTGCACGCTCCCCACTGGGGATGTGCCTGCAACCATGGTACATGCCCTTGACCGGAATCGAACCTGGGACCCTTCAGTCCGCAGGCCGACGCTCTATCCACTGAGCCAGACCCGTTTCGGCTCCTCTGGATACTTTATAGTCTTTTTGGGACAAGGTAGTGCTGAATAATTCTGCCATTGCTTCAAAGGTAAATGGAAATCTTGTTACTATAACTTTTGATTGATGAAGCTTTCTCTCAGTCTCTACTTCCCTACCAGAAATATTTGTTGAATATAAATTATGTATTAGGCACTGTACAAGCACCAGGAGATCCAATATTAAGTGAGTTTTAACATTCCCTGCCCTTGTAGAGTTTATATTCTAGTTGGGGTACATAGGCAGTGATCAAATGAACAATTAAGTACATGGTATGTGAGGTGTTGATAAGTGATAGGAAGAAAACCTATCACAAAGCAGGGAAGGGGATAGGAAGTTGAGGAATAGGAGTGTGTCATTTAAATCGGGCGATTGGAGGAGGACTCATTCCCTGTGTTATGGTCACACTGACCCGAAAGTGAGCCGAAGGTGGTATGGAAGAGATGTTAGGGAAGAGTGTCACCGGCCAGGGAAATGGTGAGAAGAGAAGCGGTCTTCTTTAACATCAAAGAGCTGATCAGAGAGAGATGTCCAGTGTCGGTGTAACATGTCAGGATTGCTGACCAGCCCCGTGGCCCGCTGGAGGCCAGTGGTCGATCATTTACAGGGAGTCCAGTCAGCATGGGCAGCTGGTGGTGAAGAGTAGGTATATTTGGAGTAACAGGCAGGTATACTAGTACTAATATGTGGGGTTTTATCATATGATTTTGGTAAAGGGATAGAAGGGCAAGGGTATTAAGGAGATGTGCAGGAAGTAATCATAATGCCGGACCACGAGAAGGAGGAGAGAGAGGACAGAAAGGGTGCAGAGACTGTGGGGCAGGGTAGGACCGGTGCTGTGCGGAGCCCCTGGAGGAGAGGAGCTGGCGTTGGGCTACAGAGGGATGAGTGGATGGTGTGAGGAGGTGGGAGAGAGGTACTTGACATTGACATTGTTCTGCTGACATTGGACATCTTTCTCTGAATCAGCTCTGATTATGATTTTAAAGAAGACTGCATCTCTTCTCACATTTTAAGCAAATGAAAATCAGCTACAGGGCCTAAGCAAAGAAATGCATTTTATAATCTGTCTTTTTGTCATTTACCTTCTTAGGAGTTACTATGAAGCCAATGATGTTACCTCAGCTATTAACGTAATTCAAGAAGCTTTCTCAAAACACCAGGGCCTAGTGTCCATGGAAGATGTTAACATAGGAGCTGAACTGTACATTTCTAACAAACAGTACGACAAAGCTCTGGAGGTAGGAACACGTGTTTCTCTTTAGGTTTGATACTCATTTCTTTCTCTCTTTTTTTTTTTTAATATATTTTATTGATTTTTTTTTACAGAGAGGAACGGAGAGAGATAGAGAGCTAGAAATGTCGATGAGAGAGAAACATCGACCAGCTGCCTCTTGCACTCCCCCCACTGGGGATGTGCCCGCAACCAACGTACATGCCCCTGACCGGCTCTACCACTGAGCCAAACCGGTTTCGGCTAGGTTGGTACTCATTTCTGTGTTCTACAAATTTTTAAATATTGACAGTTTCTCATTTTAGTTATGTATGTTACTTATGTGCTAAATTCTGTAAAGAAATATGTATGGAAACATTCCTGATTCTATACTGATTCCATATGGAATATAAAATGTAGTTTCACCTGGTAAAAGCTGTCTTCATCACAGGTGGCAGACATAGCTGTACTTCAGGGTGGCAAGACTCAACCAGACTAATTGTTTTCATTCACTTCTTAACCTGTTGGGAAAAGTTGATTGCTTTGATACAGGAATTACATGTCTTCAGTTAAGCATTAGTTAAAATGATATAAAAATATTAATGTGTCACAGTGGTTTCTTATATTAAAGAAACTTACTGTTGCTTTTTATAGCCCATTTATATGTTGTAAGGAATATTTGAATTAACTGTTCAAACCTTTGCATTGTGAAAAGGTTTTTCACACATACCTACTGTATTATTTTCTCTCTCTCCTTCAATTCTTATAGGTAATTATGGATTTTTCTGGAATCATGCTAGAAAAAGGAACTCCGGAAGAAGGCACTTCAGAAGAGAATACAGGTTGTAGTTTCTCTTCCTGGAAAGTATATAGGATCTTCTCTTGTTCATTTTGAACCTGACAGTTACTATTTTCATAGCAAGTTTTCCCCAAGAACCATTTTTTCCTAAGAGAGATATCATATCTTTTTCTTGTGATTATTCACTTACACGTAACCTTTTCCAAAATATTCAGTCCCTTTTATTCTTCAGTAAGTCTATTTGAATATGGCTTTTCTACTGACCCAGGGTCTTTTTAATGCTACATAAAGGAAGAATGGGTTCCTGAGCAGGTTATCAAAGCAATTTACTTTTCAAAAAGGACTTAAAATGCTCTCTACTAATTTACCTTAAATTTAAGCATTGAAAAAATTCTACATCTATCCCTTTCTCACTCAGCTTCTTTGTAGTGAAGACTAAAAGAGGCTTTTGAATTCAAGAAGAAAAGAGAGTTCATATATCCTTGTTTGTCTTTTAGTCTTTTTAGTTATTTGCAGATTTGAAAGAAAGTGTGGGAGTTTATATAGGATTTACATATTAGGAAAAAAATAGGAAGGATAATTGCTAACAAAAAACACACTGAAGGAGGTGTAAGTACCCAGGACTAGAGGTGGCCACCTTTAGAATGGATACAGAATCATTAGCTTTGAATTAAGTAAATGAGGTCTTACATAGAAGACATAGTTTTCTTCGTTTGACCACATTGTAAACTTGCAATAGGAAGTGTTGGCCTGTCTGTCTGATCCGCAGCTGGTGAGAATGTCACCTGCACTATACCTGATGGGGTGCCGATAGACATCACGGTGAAGCTGATGGTCTGCCTTGTTCACCTCAACATTCTCGAGCCACTTAATGTAGGTAACGTTAAGATCTGTACTTGAGATTTTTCATGTCTCATGATTTCTTTGGATGATGGGAAATTGTAAGTCGACCCTAGATTTCGTATTTCTCAATAACCAGGAAGCCACTCTAAGCATCTTTGTGTGGCTGTCTTATAAATTTCAGAACTGGGCTTATAATACTTTGTTTTTCTTTTAAAATGAGAACAGTGCAGAGATCAGAATTTGTGAGATTGGGTCTTTTGGACCACTGGTAAATTCTGACAGTAATTCATTGAATTTCTAAAAATGGGTATTACTTTGCAGACTTCAGGATAGGTATTGAATAAAATATACAAATCCCTGCCCACATGAGTCTTTTGTCCTGATGGGGTTAGATAGATAATAAATAAAATTAGTATGTGAGATAGTAGGATGTCAGTTGGTGATAAGTGCTGTGGGGGAGATCAGACGGGAGGGAAGAAGGAAAGGTGGGGTGGGAGGAGTTGCAGTTTGAAATAAGGTGGCCAGGAGAGGCCTCCCTGAGAAGGACACGTGATGGTGGCCTAAGGAAGTCAGCTGTGCAGGGTCTGAGGAGGGTGTGTGTGGCTTCCCCGAGGAGGAGCACAGAGCAGCCCTGCCTCTCTGCTGCCACCTGCCGCAGGCAGGCCTCAGGGTGATGGGGGACAGTGGGTGTGGCAGTGGGAGCTCTCGAAGAGAGGTACAGAAGAGAACAGGAAATGGAGGATTGAGAGCTGTTTTATGAAGCCTTCTCTTCATGCTTGCCCCTGATGACTTGTGTGTGTGTGTGTGTGTGTGTGTGTGTGTGTGTGTGTGTGTGTGTGTGTAAAAGAGAAATAGACGTGGATGTGCACGTTTGTACTAAGATTGACTTCAGGCGTCAATCTTGCGGTCTAGCCTCTCCTGACAACCCTGGTGGAACAGAATCCTGAAGACATGGGAGACCTTTATCTAGACGTGGCCGAGGCTTTCCTGGATGTTGGGGAATACAGCTCTGCGCTTCCTCTGCTGAGCGCGCTGGTCTGCTCCGAAAGGTACAACCTCGCGGTGGTGTGGCTTCGGCACGCAGGTAATGCTCCTCTGTGGGAGGGAGAGGGTTAACGGTTATGGGAGACAAGAGTTTAATTCCCCGAGATAGTAGTAATTGTTATACAAGGTGAAGGTCTAGTGAAGGTGGTCTTAGGGCAGTTCTTGGAAAGCTAGTATTTTAAATGTTCTTGGTAAGTCACTAGGTGATTGCCCCCCCCACCCCCCAACCATGCTTTGCAGGAATGATTCCTTTCCTGCTGCCAGAGTGAAGCGGTACTGGGATGTTCCTGTTAAAAATACCTTAAATAGCGCTGCTTACTTGCCTTAATCATCGCCTCTGCTTTCTAGGTCGTCAGATTTGGGGTGTTCTAATTTTTAAAAAAACTTTTACAGATTTATATTTAATATGTGGGGGAGATTAACATATTTTCAAAGCTCTTTGAGCCAAAAATATGCTTATGATTGGGTTTTATCTCTCATTTTATTTCCAAGTCCACAGTAATCTGAATAATTTTGTATGTAAGTCCACACTAATCAGAAATAAATTACTTAGAGTAGAAAAAGTAGCTTAAGAAATACAACTGAATCTCTTCAAGAAACACAAAAGCCAAAAATATTCTAATAGCATTTCCATTTTGAATCAACACAAAAGATGCTTTAAAATGTGAATAGTCTTGTTTAAATACTGCGTGATGGCAGAATGTCCTAGTAGTTCTTAAATATTACATATGGAAGAAAGTTCTCTATTACTGGAGAAACCTTGATTCATATTTTTTGATATTTTGAGACATACAGAATAAAATAGTAAAGAGAGCACATAAAAATGGAGATGACAGTTTCCTGGGTAAATATGGATAAAAAGGTAATACACCACCATAAAGCTATGGTATGTGTGGTGTTTGGATTTCAGAAACATGAGCAGAGAGCGGGAATTGTTATTGCCTTCCTAAGACTGGAAGATTGAACTTGCTTCTGTTAATAAGAGTAGGTATTTCAAATCCTATTTAACTCTGAGCATGATGCTGATATGTGCTATTCCATTTTGAGCCTGTGTCGCTTGACGTGAGTGGAAGATAAAGCCTCAGAATCATCTAAAAATCATAAAGAAATTTGGGCTCATTATATAAGAGATCATTACAGGAATTTAGTGCTTATAACATAATAACAAAATACCTTTAAAAGTAAAAAATAAAAAATGAGAAATGCTGTTTTGATGGTCCATCCATGGTAAGTAGTTTTTCTTTATTAGCAGAGGTTAGCCTAAAGATCATAGGAGGGATTTGAGGAATTTGAGATTTGAGAAAGCAATTGGGCAAAAGCATCATTTTAGTGTGTAATTGTAGTAAAAAAGGAAAGTGATGAAAAGGACCTAAATAAGTGCTGTGGCTATTAGGCGGAGAGGAGAAACGCTACAGGGATTTGTTTCCAAGTTTAGATGGTCGAACTTAATGATTGACTGGCATAACGTTTGAAGAATGGAGCCCATACACTTCACTTCTGAGAACTTACCCCAAGGAAATAATTGAGTGGGGAGAGGGATTGCGGATCACAGCTCAGGAGCCGGCAGTAACAATAGGGAGGACGGGGAGGGAGGGGAGTCCTGCCGGAGGTTCGGCTGTTCCCCAGCAAGTGCTCTTGTGCCATGGGGAGGGCAATCGCCGTGTCAAGTCCGCATTCTTCATAAGAAGCTTGGGTTTCATTGAAATCCTAATTAAAAAAATGTAGACACTTTATTGTTTTGAACAGCACTGTGGCCAAACAAAACACAGTAAGTTAAATTGGTCCACCAATTTGTGAGCTCTGGCTTATATACATGGAGATGTTTACTGCAGTTTAGAGTAAAAATTTGGAAATAACCTAAATGTCAAATAATATGTTTAAGTAAATAATCTATTTAATTGGCTATTATAATCATTCAAAATGCTGATGAAGACGGGAAAATGTTGAAAGCATAATGCTAAGTGAATAATGCAGAATCCTAAAGTACACGTGTAGGCCGATTACATCTTTGTAGCAATTTTAATTTAGTTAGGAATTCAATGGATTGGTCAATCAGTAGATAGAAATTAGAGCCGACAGTTGTTTTAAAGTGCTAGAAATATTCACACTTTTTTTTTTTTGCTATAATTCTTTTGATATTGCTAAACTGTTTCTTTAAAAACGGAGAAATAACTTGGCAAGCTTAGCAATGTGTAGTTCACGTTTGTGCATTCCTTGGACCTCCTAGAATGCCTCAAGGCCTTGGGCTACATGGAGCGCGCTGCTGAGAGCTACGGCAAAGTGGTGGAGCTGGCCCCCCTGCATCTGGATGCAAGAATTTCCCTTTCCACCCTGCAGCAGCAGCTGGGCCGGCCTGAGAGAGCGCTGGCAGCCCTGGAACCCATGTACGACCCAGACACGCTCGCGCAGGACGCCAGCGCTGCGCAGCAGGTAGGCCGGACGCAGAAGGAAGCTTTTCCTGGTGCCTGTGGTTCCCAGCTTGCTCCTTATGCAGGAGGTCTCTGCGGCTAACACAGACTTTCATTTCAGTGTATTAAGTTCAGTGTATTTGAAAAATTGAGTCTTAAGTTTCAGCCACTCATTAGACACTATAAATTGCAATGTCTAAAAGAATGCATCTAATTATAGTGAAAGATCATAAAGCAAATGTTCTTAAGCTTTGGTTTCTAAGACAAAACACCTGATAGTAAAGGAATCTTGTCACTGACTGTCATGTTTTTATTTATTTAGGAGCTGAAGTTACTGCTTCATCGTTCTACTCTACTGTTTTCACAAGGCAAAATGTATGGTTATATGGACACCCTGCTTACCATGTTAGCCATGCTTTTAAAGGTGTGTGGTGATCTTTATGTAACCTTGCTGACTTTTTCAATGGTTAGAAAGTGACTTAAATCAAGATTATAACTATGTTAGAACTCTCTTTCACTCTATTAAACTCAAAGTAATAAGTCAGAGACAAAAGACCAAGAGATTATGTAATTGACAGTCTGCATGAAAGTATAAACTTGACTGTAGATTAAGAGAAAAAGATCTTTGCTAGTCAATATTTAGAAAAGTGAGAACCACAGCATTATTGGTTATTGGCCCAGTACACATTACCTTATGTCAAAATTGTTCACTTTGCAAAAACGTTGTCCAGGTTATGACATCCTGTGTGACTACAGCCTTTTTGCTGGGAGGTGGTTATGTGGGTGTTTATGTGTGTGATAACATTGATGTGAATTGCCCTTTTTGTGATTAACAAGACCCAAATTGCTTTAGTAAGAAAAAATGTATATTCAGTCTTTTTTAGATGTTTATATACACAGTAACTTGGTCTCATTTTTCCTTACTTAAGAATCTTTCAGGCACACCTATGTTACTTGTGGCCCATAGGTTTTCTTTTAAAATTTTATGACCAAAAAATGTCAAATTATCTTTAATTCAGGTAGCAATGAATAAAGCCCAAGTCTGTTTGATATCCAGTTCCAAATCAGGAGAGCGGCATCTCTACCTTATTAAAATGTCACGAGACAAAATATCAGAGAACAATGACCAAGAGACAGCAAATTGTGATACCAAAGGTAATTACTTTTTATTTGCTTTATTACATAAAACTTGGCTGAGTTGATAAAAACACTCATGAAGTAACACCAGACAGTAGTACTCTAATAGAAAATATACCCTTTTCAAGTAAATAGAAATTTTCTAATTAAAATCCTTCAAGTATAATAAACTTACTTGGTGTTTAAGGAAAAAGGAAAGCTATCTGTAAATAATTTTTTTAAATTAAAAGGAAAAACTCTGCTTAGTTTTTCTGTTTAAAAAAGTAAACAAAGTTTTTAATTTTGACTTTAAGAAGAAAATATACTTCATTTTATGGAATTTGTGAAGATTAGATGACAGTGCAGGTTACTGTGTTTGTCCAGTCACTGCAATGACATACGTTCCTTTCTTTGTTAAATTCATTTTTGACAAATGCAGCAATTGTCATACAAATTGAAAGTAAGTTGCTTTAACTCACTCTCAAATAACACAACTTTAAAAGGCATCTATTTTTAGCTGGAAAAGCATCAAATATGCTCAGATGAGATTATTACTTAGAGACTTTGGAAAAGACCGAGGCCAGTGGTCGGCAAACTGCGGCTCACGAGCAACATGCGGCTTTTTGGCCCCTTGAGTGTGTCTCTTCCACAAAATACCATGGCCTGGGCGAGTCTATTTTGAAGAAGTGGTATTAGAAGGAGTTTAAGTTTAAAAAATTTGGCTCTCAAAAAGAAATTTCAATCGTTGTACTGTTGATATTTGGTTCTGCTGACCTATGAGTTTGTTGACCACTGACCTAGGCTATAAGCTGGAGATATCTGGCAGGAAATTATTTCATTGTTAATTAATTTATTAGACTTTTACTAAGTCTTTTTGTTATTGTTAATCCTTACTTGAGGATATTTTACTTTTCCCAATGATTTTTAGAGAGAGTTGAATTGAGGGAGAAAGAGAGAGGGAAGAAAGGAGGGAAAAAGAGAAAGAGAGAGAGATCTACACCAATTGGTTGCTCCCGCGTGCAACCCCACATGGGACCAGGGGTGGAACCTTTAGCCCAGGTGTGTGCCCTTGATCCTTTAGTCTACAGGCTGAAGCTCTAAACACTGAGCCAAACCGTTCAGGGTTGTTAAATCATGTGACTGTCACAGTCATGTGCCACAGACAGGGTTTCAGAATCCGGAAGAGCTGAATCTGTTGGGGTGATGTAAGGATATAAAGTCAGCAAGGTGCTGCCAGGGAGGAGTGAGGTAGCTGCTCCTCCTCCAGCTCAGTCTGCCATCTCCAGCTCACTGACTCTGAGCTCAGGAATTTGCACTGTGTTTTCTTAAGTTTCATTTTTCTTCATATCTGAGCTTGCCTATTTTCTCTTTCACTAATTTCTCATTTCAGGCTCATTGTTGATTTTTTCTTATGCTCATAAAGTTTTTATCGTTTTGTTTTGTTAATTTTGTTATGGTGGGGATCACATTACACTGCACCTGAATAGGATGAGCTAGGTCAGTGGTCAGCAAACTCAATAGACTTGCCCAGGCTGTGGCATTTTGTGGAAGAGCCACACTCAAGGGGCCAAAGAGCCACATGTGGCTCATGAGCCAGTTTGCCAACCATGGAGCTAGGCCTATGCTGCATACATCTTGGTCCTCTGATTTTCTTCGCTTGTTTTTCTCATAGCCATGTTCTAATATTGTTCTATTCTCTTTGTAGCAATTATATTTCAAGAATGTGTAATAGTCCATTGAATAGCAGTGCCATGATCTATTTACCCATTCCCTCATTTGTTTGGTGATATGGCTGCTTCTGGTCATTTTCTTCTTTCAAATATGTTTTCATTGATTTTTTTTAGAAGGAAAAGGGAGGGGTTAAGAGAGAGAAACGAAAATATCCATGAGAGAGTAACATCGGTTGGCTGCTTCCTGCACACTCCATACTGGAGATGGAGCCCAAAATCTGGGCATGTGCCCCGACTGGGAATTGAACCAGCAGCCTCTCAGTGCCTGGGATGATGCCCAGCCAACTGAGCCTCACTGGCCAGGGCTGATAATTTTCTTTTATAAATAATACTGTAGTGAGCATCTTCATATCCATAGGTTTATCTATATTTTTAATTAGTTGTTCAGGATAGATTCCCAAAGGGAGAATTACTAGGATAAAGACAAAAAGTTTTATGTCTTTTGCTACTTCGCAAGGTTTATAAAAGGGAGGTACCTTACTGAGGAATAAGGGAATGAAGGAAAACAGAAATTTTAAGGCAAAACAAAAAAGAAAATTGAGACAACAAAAAGGTCAAGGACAATCTGAATCTCAGAATGTGGATTTGAATTCCTTTGCTGAGCAAACATTTGAGTCCTTGTATGTGCAGTCTCTCATCTGACCTCAGTCCTGGAAAGCACACTTGCCCTGCTGGGGGCATCCTTTGTAGACAAGTCGGGGTGAGTGCAGATTTGCAGGAGGCAGAGCAGAAGGGGCTGGAAACAGGCCACTACCCCTTCTCATCATTGTCACAAGAGTGCTGGCAAGAATTTAGGCCCATTGGACCATGGTGATTAAATTTACCTTTACCAGTCATAGGGATATTGTTTTCTGATACTGCTCTTTCTGGAAATACATACAATATTCTAACATCTCCATCGGTCTCATTTCAGCAATATTTGCTGTCCTCACGAGTGTCATGCCCAGGGAGGAGTGGTGGAACCTCCTTGTGAAGGCCATATTCTCCTTGTGCGAGCTGTCCCGGTTTCAGGAGGCTGATTTACTCGTGGATTCTGCGTTGGAATATTGTTCATTTTATGATGACAAACAAAAACGCAAAGAGCTAGAATACTTTGGTCTCTCTGCTACAATTCTGGACAAAAATTTCAAAAAGGCATACAACTATATCAGGTGACTTTCCAATGGCTGATTTCAGCTAGATTCTTTGATAGGGCTTATTTCCTTCCAGTTGTTTCTCGTGTTCAAGGGTTAATATGCTGTTTTATTTTAGCTCTCCTACTGGTTGATTCAGTTCAGTAATGAGTCCCAGAGGCAATATATAAGAGCGTGTGCTCTCACATACTTAACCTCCTGTGCTTCAGTCTCCCCATTTATAAAGTGGACATCATGATGCTACCGCTTCATAGGATTATTGTGAAGATAAAATGAATCATACATATAAAGATTTTTACAATGCCTGGTACACATTATTATAGTGTTCATTGTACTGCAGCTGTAGTGGAAAGGAGATAAAAAGTAAAACTTGCTTGGTTCAGTTCTTTTTAAAAGTTTTGTTAAACAGAAACAAAATGTAGAAATACTGACTTAAGTGGCATTTTTTGGGAGAATCAGTGTGTAAAAAAGGTTTGCTTAAATTGCAGTGGCCTTTTTCAGGGGATGGTACATGGCAGTGTAGGTGGGACAACACTGAAGGGTTTCATTCTTACAAAGGAGGAAGGTCTTCTCTTTACCTTACTTTTCACCCTCACCGAAGTCCTTCAATTTCAGGGTGATGGTGATGGAGAATGTCAGCAGGCCCCACCTCTGGAACATGTTCAATCAGGTCACCATGCACTCCCAGGAGGTGCGGCACCACCGTTTCTGTCTCCGCTTAATGCTGAAGCACCCTGAGAATCACGCTCTGTGCGTCCTAAACGGGCACAATGCCTTCGTGTCTGGCAGTTTCAAGCATGCCCTTGGTAAGTGTCCTGGCACAGGTCTCTGTCAGGTATGAGGCTGGTCCAGAGCCTGGCCTCAGGTGCAGATGCCTGGCTCCAAGCAGCAGACCAGCTTCGAGTTACCCTCCCTCCGCTCCCTCTGCCGCAGTTTCTTCATCTCTGAAATGGAGAGAACATGTGAGCCTACTACTTTGTAGATTGTTGTGAAAATTAAATGAGTTAATACAAAGAACTTAAAACAGTGCCTGGCACATACAGTAAGTGGCTATGTTAGTATAATAAAAGCATAATATGGTTGGCTGAACGACATTTGGGACAAAGCTTGGACTGTGAGGGCCGAGTCCCTTGAACGAATTTCGTGCATCGGGCCTTTAGTAATAATAATAATAATAATAAATATTAATATTACTTTTTCTTATGAAGCTTTGGTTTAAAATGCCTGAAGTCTTAGTATTTATTTTAAAGGTCAGCCATTCTCCTTACTTAGGCTTATTTGTTTTAAAAATGATTTTCATTAATTATAGATATTTGCCATCTGATTTTAATTTGCTATAGTACAAAAAGGATTTAAGATTTGCTGATAGTTTATTCATTTGGAAGAAAAGTCTTTATATCAAGATTTATTTACATAGTTCTTACTAATGCTAATTAAACACGGGGAAAATTCATTAATCATGTATAATATAGCAAAGTTCTATAGTAAGGAAACAGAAGAAACCAAGTAGGAAATTACCTACCCAAATGCTCGCAGTTAATGAGGCCCGGCTCTCCTCCTAAAAGCTAGCGTTGTCAAGTGCGCTTCTGATTAAACGGCTAGTTAGAGCATCAGATATTGAAACTCTCTTCCACTAGTGTGCTTTTTGGAATTGTTAGTTTAATATTAAAAAATATATAAAATACAGATTAATTTTATTTTTCTAAATTTAGAAATTCACAGAAGGTAGCAATAGCAAGTCCAAATGGCAGTCTGCCATCTGTGTTGCCAAAGAGAGTTGATGGTGCCATTCCTTCCGGAATGGGAGCTGGGAGGAATAGAGGTTTTATCTGTGTGTATGATAAATTATGTATCATCTTTTTGTAAGAAAAACCTATGTAAGTTTCCCCATCACATATCGGTAAGCTTTTGACATGAAATAATTGTACATGTGGATTACATGGAATTCACAAAAACGCAGTCTTATTTTATTATTTGATACATTTAACTTTTCTAAGGAAAAACAAAGTAGTTGCTACATTTACAATATAAAAACAACACCCATTATCTAAAAAAACAAAATCATTTTTTCACCTCCATGATCCATTACATTTGATTTTTTTAATACAGATAATTAATTTTCCAAAAGAAGTAATCAAAAGACACATTGCTCTTTAAATAGATTTAAGATCGTAAGCTAGGTTTATGATCACAATTGATAAATTACTTACGTTGGAAGTATGACTACATGAAATGTCTAGTTGTGTCTAAAAGAAGGCTGTTTTAGTTATTCATGTTTAATCTTTATGATTAAAATACATTCATGGCTAAATCTTTCTAATTTTGTTACATGTTTTTAAAAATTGAAATTTGCATATGCTATCTACCACTAATGTTTGTTTACCCTTAAAATATATTAGAATAAATACATTTGAAGAGATAAGGAACTATGTCACACCATCTGATATCTCTGCTCATTTTTCAGGCCAATATGTGCAAGCCTTTCGCACCCACCCCCATGAGCCCCTATACAGCATCTGCATAGGCCTAACCTTTATTCACATGGCCTCTCAGAAGTATGTGTTAAAGAGACATGCTCTCATTGTGCAGGTAATTAATTTGGATTTCTCATTACGTGATTGTATATTTTTAAAAAATGAATAAACTTAATGTGCTTGTTATCCTGCTTTAAAAGTAATAACTGCTAATGTCCTGGCTGGTGGCTCAGTTGGTTGGAGTGTCGTCCTGTACACCAGAAGGTTGCTGGTTTGATTCCTGGTCAGGGCACATACCTAGAGTGCAGATTCAATCCCCAGTTGGGGCATGTACAAGAGGCAACCAGTTGATATTTCTCTCTCACATCACTGTTGTGGATTTGCTTAAATCCCTCAATTCAACTCTCTAACAGTACCAATGTTTTCCTCTCTCTAAAAATTAATATTCTCAGGTGAGGATTTAAAAAAGAAAAAAAAAACACCTGCTTAATACATGTGTTGGGAATCTCCAAGCCCCCTTATTTCTCTGTTCAGCCCTTGTGGACTCAACACCTACAGACACTCCTGTATATGCGCGTATGTGTATCCTATCTAATAGGATAGTTGACTCTCACGTCATCACAAAAGATGGCAGCGCCCACAGCTAATCAGGAGGGAATATGCTAATTGATTTTTTAAAAAATAAAATGGCTAAAAGAATACCTAAATTAAACTAAAGATAATTGTTAAAACTGGGTATTGGGGTTCATTATAATGTTTTTTTACTTTTATATATTTGAAATTTTCCATAATGAAAAAGTAAAACAAAACAAAACAAAAAACACCTAAAAACCTGAATTTTTCCTTTTGGGGTATTTATTTGTAACGTTTTGTCTACATTTTCCTCTAAGCTTCTTTTTCTTTATTAGTGACTACTATTACTATACTAAGCAATATAAGGTTGTTGATAATGTCAACAGATGTGTAGTGAACATCCACTGTGCTAGAGCAGTGAGTGAGCACACAGGCAGAATTCCTTGTCCTCATATAGCTTGCAGAGTTCATAGGTAACACTTGATGGGGAATTTTTATGGATTAACTCATTATTAAATAGTTAAATTATGAAGTTTTTAGGCCCAGTAGGATAAAAGCTTATGTATAGCACGCCCTTGAATAACATCTTGTTCAGTGTGGTTTCATTAGAATGTTGATGACGTGCTGTGGGACTACGTGGCCTCTGGTAAGACTGGTTTCCTTACATGTCATTTTGCTGAAAGTAGCAGAACCTTTCAATAACATTGAGGACTTACTGTACTTCAATGTAATTTGGAAGCTAAATTCGAAATCACTTAAATCATTTTTAGAGTTAAATAGTAGGTTTTAAATGGTAGGGAGAGAGGTAAAACAAGAGATAATGGATAATGGGAGTTGGTTGTACTAATCTCCCTTATGTAGGTCAAACATTTTAAGTTCTAGCCTCTCAAATTAATTATTTACTTACCGCATAGGACACTTGCTCTGCAGTTTGTAACTTCCGGTGATGCTAGAAATTGCGGCTGCCTTACAGGGGAGAGTGAATGTGGGAAGAGGCAGAGGAACAGCTGCTGTTCGGACGCTGTGACCACCAGCAGGCTGCATGCTTACAGCTGTGCTCTGCAATCATTTTCTCCAAAAGCCACACCACCCAGGCTTTTGGCTAAAGAGGTCACTGAGGTCGTAAGAGGTAACTTAGGAAAGGTTCCATTTACTGAGAAAGGCTACATATATTCACGTGACTGCTCCTGAGCACAAGCCTCTCTAACTTACCATTGAAGGACTCCGATTTTGTATTCTGGTCAAGCTTCTAGGCATATATTTCAGACCAAAAGTTTAAAAGTTTACTGTCCTCCATAGAACCACACATGCATCCTGTGTTTTTTTGTTTAAAAAAAAAAATTATATATATATATAAAATTGATTTTTTTACAGAGAGGAAGGGAGAGGGACAGAGAGTTAGAAACATCGATGAGAGAGAAACACCGATCAGCTGTCTCCTGCACTCCCCCCAATGGGGATGTGCCCGCAACCAAGGTACATGCCCTTGACCGGAATCGAACCTGGGACCCTTCAGTCCACAGGCCAGCGCTCTTATCCACTGAGCCACACCGGCCAGGACGTATCCTGCATTTTTATAGACTGGGTCTTTGACAGCTAGTTGTAATATTCTATGAATATTTCTATCCTTAGCTTAAAAGACCCTCAGAATTGCTGCTGACCACGCGGTGACTGACATCAGAGTGCAGACAGGTGTTCTTTTCGGGTGCGACTGTGTCTTTTCTTAATATTTGTGTTCCCAGCACCTGGCGCATGGAGTGGTTCATCCTGGTCAGATGAGTGAAGTATTGAATTGCTTGTCTTTCTCTTTTTGGTAGGGCTTTTCCTTTCTCAATCGCTACCTCAGTCTACGTGGGCCTTGCCAGGAGTCATTCTACAATATGGGCCGTGGCTTTCACCAGCTGGGGCTGAGCCACCTGGCCATCCACTATTACCAGAAGGCCCTGGAGCTCCCTCCGATGGTGATAGAGGTATGGTACCATTTTCTTCAGAAACTGAGGAGTCTCCGTTTCATATGCAGAGGAGTGCAGCCAGCTCAGAGCTGTGGTCCAGGAGTGGAATAAGCTTTAGCGGACATGTGAAAATGTGTTTTCCCTTTTGGAATCCACTCATGTAATAATGTTCAGCAACAAGTCCCTCTTTGCCATCCTGGCTTTATTCTCGATCAGCAACCATGTGGACATACATGACTTGTGATTCTGACCATTTTAGTTATCCTAAGACAGCCCTGTGGCTTACAGGTAAGAGCTGGTAGACCTAAGGCCCGAATATTGAGTTATATAGTCATTGCTCCTTTTCAAGTTCGAGGATAACTAACACATTTCTTTCTAAAGATGAATGACCAGTATTGATGTAGGTTTTTGTTTTTGTTTTTTAAGGTAATGTAGTATAGGGTAAAGTGTTGCCAGTGCTATGATAATCTGTGTTTGAAGTCTGCTTTTTATTTTAATTTCTGAAGAGAAGTACATGTGGGTAACTGTCTTCCTCTTGCTGCTTTTAAGATTCGTTGTCTGTGACCTTCCCATTCTTTATGTGCCTCTCTGTTAGACATCTGCTCACTCATGTTATAATTTCCTTATTTTTGTAAATGCAGGAGGGTTATGTTTTTTACGAAGTCATGTCTCTTAATTTTTCTCTTCAGAGTATCTACTTTTGCTATTATATTTAGAATGGCCTTTCCTATCCAAGACTATATTATCATATTCAACTATTTTCTTTCTTTTGCGATGTCATTGTTTTGCTCTTAAATCTTTACTGTGTCTGGAGTTTATTCTGCTAATGCATGTGAGTGAGACTTTTTCTTAAATTACTGGTTAGACATTTAAAAATATTTGATTATACAGTTCCTATAATGATTAATTTATATCTAAGGTAGATGCATAATAATTTATCTCTCCTTTTTTTTTTTTTTTTTTTTTTTTTTTTTTTTTTTTTTTTTTTTAGTATTGTGAATTTAACGGCTTTTGAACACTTACACTTACAAAACTGTTTATTTACCATAAAATTGCCCTGGTTGTTGTTTTGCTACTTTGAAAAGTAACTCATTTGTGTTTTCCCCCTAGGGTATAGAAGTTGACCAGGTTGACTTACGAAGAGATATCGCCTACAACTTGGCACTCATTTATCAGAACAGCGGGAATATTAGAATGGCTCAGAGGCTGTTGTTCACCTACTGTGTTATTTAAGGCCCTTCAATCAAGAAAGGGATATCAGGCAGCTGCTATGTGTGGATAAGTACTTTCTGTCTCAAGGCTTATTAACCCCAAAATAGTAATGGTAATTTTGGAATTATTTAATGTGTATGTTGTATTTAACATACCATAATGATTTTTTTAGAGTATATTTTTATTGGTTTTAGAGAAGAAGGGAGAGGGAGAGAGACACAGAAACATCACTGATGTGCTGCCTCCTGCACATCCCCTGCTGGGGATCGAGCCTGCAACCCGGTCGTGTGCTCCAATCAGGAATCAAACCGGGGACCCTTCAGTCCACAGGCCGACATTCTATCCACCGAGCCAAACCAGCCAGGGCTCATAATGATCTTTTGGTAAATATGTAAAAATTGTTATTTCTACAAGATTTTGTATATTGTCCTGTCATTTTCCTTTAGCACTTTTTAGTCCCCAGGTTGAAGTGACTGTAGTGACTTTTGAGTGGCTTGGAGTGGAATATACTGATTTCTCACTCATACTGTTTATTCATCTGTGCATATATTCAGCGCCTGCTCTGTACTTGGCACTGTGATAGACCCAGAATACAGCGGTAAGACAGATGTGCTCTCTTTTTTTTTTTCTTTTTTTATATATTTTATTGATTTTTTTACAGAGAGGAAGGGAGAGAGATACAGAGTTAGAAACATCGATGAGAGAGAGTCATCGATCAGCTGCCTCTTGCACACCCCCTACTGGGGATATGCCTACAACCAAGATACATGCCCTTGACCGGAATCGAACCCTGGACCCTTCAGTCCCCAAGCCGACGCTCTATCCATTGAGCCAAACCGGTTTCGACCAGATGTGCTCTCTTAATACAATTCCTTAAATACAGGACTTGAGCACATGTTTGAGAGAAATATTTGTTACATTTTTACATACATCATTGTCGTCAGCCATTTATTACTCGGTGCCTGTTACTATTGCAAAAGGTTGCTTATTAAAGCAAAGACAAATTGGGAATATTTCTGATGTCAGCACAGTCATGCAATTCACTAATCTGTAACAAAATGATTTAAAATGGTGAATGGTAGGAAGATAAATAATTGAGTTAATCTTTCCCTTTTCACCTGTATGTGTCTTAGCCACGTAGACTGAGGCCTAGGAGGCTGGACTTACCTCAGAGCACTGCTCCGACGCAGCTTAAGGAAATGCCTCATCAGTGTCTGACAATGGCTTTCTGACCAAAAAGAGGGGATGTGCTCAGTAGCACAGCCTGGTGTCCATCTCCAGGTCACTAGGGATGTAGGAGGGCTGGTGACTGTGTATATGGGATAAAGCATTGTATGTTCTTGGATCTAAGAAAACAATACTTGTTAGTCATACTGTTGGTTTGATAACAGCACTTTAGAGTTTCTTTTAGGAGAGAATAAATGCTATAAACATGCATGTGGATTGTAACCTAGTCCTAGGGTGGGAGGAAATAAGCCTGAGACAGCATCAAAAGTGCAGGGGCTCTTCACACTGTATCCATAGCTGAGAGCAGAATTTGTATGTAATAAGTAAAGTGTCATTGTCCCTCTGTGTGCACATGTGTATGTAATTTAAATAAAGTATTTTTATAATGAAAGTGAGTTACTTCGTGTGCTTGGTAATTATTATAATCCCCGTCTCACATCTGAGACTGAGCAGCATGTCCAGGGTCACTAGCAAGCTTCCCCTTACTTCCCCTCCTTCTGAAGAACTCACTGCTTCAGGCAGACTCACGGCAAAAAGGGTGTGTGTGTATTTTAGAAAGAAAAGGGAGGCTTCCAGGCATCAGCCTGGTGAAAGCCCTGTACACAGCATCTTGGGGCTGTCACTTTATTTATTTATTTTTTTTTATTTATTTTATTTTTTTTTTTTTATTACTAAAGCTCTGCCATTTATTTCTAGCGGGTGCCGATGGTCACCTGCCACACTCGCACCAGGTTGTCTGTATAGCCAGCAAAGAGAGTCTGGCCATCAGGGGCTGTCACTTTAAAAGCTGATAGCCACTGTCTACTGTCACCCTCTCCTCAGCATGAGGGTCCTGGTGCCACTCTGTACCTGAGATTCTTTTCTGAGGTCTCAGCGCTTCAGCCCGGGTCTGCTCCTGCACCAGTCTAGCCCGTCCAGCTCCCCCCTTCTCTGGGAAACTTTGGGGGGCTGGAGCTTCACTCTGTGCTTGTCCTGTGGGCTGACCGGCAGGCAACCCATTCTGTTGTGGAAGAGAGTAAAGCCTGTGCGTTAGGAGAAGCCAAGGTGAGGAACGGCAGGAGTGCCTTTCCCAGGTTTCCATTCCATCCTCCCAAGGCTGCATTTGTGCCCTGGATTCTCCCCGGAAGAAAGCATGCCTGGGTTACGACTCTATCCCCAGGACTTCATTAGTGCCCTATAATAAGTTCCACTTCTTGACCCTTGCTTGTTGTTTTCTATTTGCACCAGAAAAGTCTCCTAGATTCCATCTTGCTTTGCATTTTAGCAGAAATGCTTTAAGCTGTTTGCACAGGAGTAAGGGCGCCGTGAAGTCTCCACTGATCCTCTAGGACAGCGCTCCCTTCCGTGGATGGTGTCATGCAGGAGCTCGCTGGCCGGAGGCTCCTGAGGAAGCAGCAGGTGCATTGGCAGGTAACACCTAGGGGGAGAGTGAGGCAGGCTGGGCATCCGAGGAAAGCTTCCGGCACGGCAGGTTCCTGCCAGGGGGGTGGGGAGCACTCAACGGGAGCAGAACTAGTGCAGAAGTATGAAAATGAGATGTGATTACTGCCCCCGATGAGGGAATACTGGACACATAGAGAACGGTGCTGCAGAGGAATGCTAAAAAAATACGAGTTTTATGAAACTAAAAACGACTGCCAAGATTCAGTGAAAGGGCTGCCGAAAATGGAATTTAAAAAAGACAAAATGGAGCAATGAAGGGATGAAAACATTTCAGCTGAGAAAACGTAAGCTTACAAGGCAGTCTACATTATAAGTTATTTGCAGCACCATATCTTATACATTCACTTACTCTTGGAGGTATTTGTTTGATTATAAAACCAGGAGGAGGGATAAACTCCTGCAATAATTTTTATGTGCAATAGATGGCAGTACATTCCTGTAAATTTAGAATTGTACTTCCTCTAATACAGTTGTGGCAGCATTTAACCTTTTCCAAAACATTGTTTAATTTGGGGGAGATTAACTTTTTATTGGGATTCGTGTGGATGAGGCACGGTACTGCATGCCCTCCAGGTGCTCCTGTTACCTGACTACTTTTGTTTGTGGTGGGGGTGGTTTTTTTTTTTTTTTTTTTTTTTTAAAGCAAAACAGATGACCTGACTGGGTAGCTTAGTTAGTTAGAGCTTTGTCCCAATATGTCAAGGTTGTGGATTTGATCCCCAGTCAGGGCACAAATAAGAATCAACCAATGGCCCTGGCTGGTTTGCTCAGTGGGTACAGTGTCTGAGGACTGAAGGGCCCCACGTTCTATTAAAAGTCAAGGGCACATGCCCGGGTTGCAGGCTCTATCCCCAGTGGGGGGGCGTGCAGAAGCAACCGATCAATGATGCTCATCATTGATGTTTCTGCCTCTCTCCCCCTCTCCCTTCCTCTCTAGAATCAACCAATGAATGCATAAATCAGTGGAACAACAAACTGATGTTTCTCGCTCCCTCTCCTCCCTCTTCCTCTCTTCCCTCTGAAACCAATTAAAATAAGCAAAACAATAAGAAACGGCTCAGAAAAGTGGAACACATGTGCTGCCTCCCAGGACTACGTAAGCGGAGCACGGACAGCTTTCGAACACGGGGCAGGTGCCACCTGTTTTCATTTGGGAAGATCTGCTTGGGGCATCCTGCAGGTCTGAGCAGTCCTGTGGAAAGCTCTGTCCCCGCACGGACCTCCATGGGCACTGAAAGGACACCTGGAGCCCTACTGTGTGCTCCTTGCCCACTTTTCGGCCTGGATCAAACTATGTTGGCAGATACCAAGGTAAGCACCTCACGCACAGTTCCTAATCCCACCTGAAGGTCATCATGAAATGCACCGTCTGTGGCCCCACGGAAAGCCAGCTGAGGAGGGTGAGAATTAGCAGGACCACTCGGCACTTGAATAAAGAGCCAGGTGTTCAGGTTCAGAAAAGGGAGGGCAAGCGAGGGAAGGGAGGAAAGAGCCAGTAAACAGGTGCTCGGCTCCCTGACGCACAGCTGTGCCGAGGCCGTGCGCGCTGCTCTGTTTCCTCCTCCCAACTTGGCATCTGGCTCCGACCTCAGGTTCTGGCTGCCCAGGGGTTTGGGTGCAGCACCGGCGTTTCTTAGCCAAGCAATCCCCGTTCCTATAGACAGTGGAACACGTCCTTTGCGAAGAACATGCTTTACGGGATTAGGTCCGTCGCCTTGGGAGACAGATGCTGGGACGCTGCATCTCCAGCTCAGGTGCACGCCGACCTGCCCGCGGGGGCTGGCCGCTAGAGGGAGCACCACGTGCCGGAAGCCCGGGCGGAGGCCCAGCAGGTGCGGTGATGCCTCCTGGGAAGCCGGGATCCAGAGTGGCCCGGGCCCATCCACAGCGGGAAACCCGGGCCTCCCGAAGAGGCTTGGAAAGCGCTGCCTTCCAGTCGCTCTCCGGACACAGGACCAGCCCTGGGGTGAGTGAGCAACGGTCCGTGTTGACCGTGTTTCCGAGAGAAAAGCAAAGCCTGCAGGGGTCCTGTAACTGCAGGAGGAGAGGAAGGGGGAGGTGAGCTCCTCCCTCTCCTGGCCTGGGTCCTCCCTGTCCCCTCTTCTCATCCTGGCAGTGGTTGGTCAGCTTGGGGGGAGAGGATGGTCACCGTGTGGGCGTGCTGAAGCTCTGCTGTGCGTCCTGTTAGCCACCGAAGGCCTGGTCCCTCCTGGGGAGAGAGCATTTCCCTCCGAGGTGCGAGGGCGTGGGGACGGGGTCAGCCCTCACAGGGGGAGCGAAGAGTGGGCCCTGCTTGTGGTCGGAGTTGGTCGACGGCAGGCTGTGTGCGTGGGCACAGGTCCTCCCTGTGG